TTACTTTTAGGCTGCCTGTAACCGCAGCATTCGGGAAGTGGCAACAGGAGGATCAGGAGTTTAAGGGCAGCATTGGCTACATAGTGAGTTCAAGGCCAACCTGGGCTATGTGAAACCCTGTCTCCAAGATAACAAAATTGAAAATTATAGAACCAATTAGCCAGTTTACTCAGAGTTTTGAAGACACCACAATATATCGCTGGTCTCTGTCTCAAAGATGAACTCCTGTGAGTAGCATTCCATTCCATACTGTGAGGTCCAAGGTGGCACCAGGTGAGTAGTCAGGACAGCACCTGCTGGAGAAGGGACAATGCATGTGCTCGCCGCTCTGGAGAAGGGACAATGCATGTGCTCGCCGCTCTCTCCTCCAGTCTGTCTCTGTTGTCCTGACAACCTCTGCACCGGATCTTGTCAAGGTGGGCAGAGGTCTCTGCACAGATCTCCACTAGATTTTCAAAGGGCATTCTGTGCTCGGGACTGTCACAGTCCAGTGTTCAGAAACTGAGAGACAGGGACTGTCTTCTCTGCTGCAGGCAGAGTGGTGGCACCCAAGAGTCCTCTGCTACTCTCTACCCACCAGCAGTCTCACTGAGGCTTAGGCATGCATGCCTTCGGCTCCTTGGAGGTGAGCAGTAGCTTTCCTTATCCCTACCCAAGGAACTGGAGGGAGAGACTCCAACTAATCTTTTAATGGTATATATTCTTTTCCCCTACCTGGTCCCTATCTACATCACCACATGAGTTCTAAGTTAAGCACAGATTTTTTTCTTTTCTTTTAAAATAATTTTACTATCCCCAAGTATAGGTTTTTTTAAAAACCACCACACCCTTAAAAATGTGACTGTGTTCAACTCTATCCTAACGCTGAGTCCTCAGTGACCATCTTCCCCTTCCTTTCTTGTGTGGTTTACACCAGTATCTCAGATTGCTTAGGGAGAGGGTGCAGTTTCTCCCAGACATCACGTTTCTGCTGCACTCTGTGTGCACAAAAGAATAACAACTAAAACGTGGAGGAGGAGATCATTTCTGATTATGTTATCATAATTATAGGAATTCCTCAAGGCTGGGAAATGTGTTCTATGGTCAGGTGCCACCACACAGCATGTGCCCACAGACCCAGATGCTCAGAAGGCTGCAGCAGGAGGGTCACCTCAGTCCAAAGGTTCTGGACCACCCTGGGCAACTTAGCAAGACTGTCAATGAGACAAAACAAAAGGAGAATGCTAAACCAGGAAGGATGAAGGGAGAGTGAATTAAACCTCGTCAGAATTCACTTCCCTTCCAAAGAATGGTGTCGTCACGGAAGGGGAATTCTCAAAAGACGGCAGAAAGCAGGGATACTGAGGTGCAAAGCAAGTCCTTGGTCAGAATCCACGAAAACGATGTTGAGAGAGAAGATGCAGTTGGCCAAACTAGGAGAAAATGTGCCCAGAAGGAATGAGACATTCTCAGAAACCCAGATCGGGCTGTGCAGTTCTACTTTGTATATCCTTTTCACATTGACTTGGGTTCATTTTCTTTCCTCTCGGTAACAAAGTAACGTGCTTGACACTGAGTCCTCTCTAGTTCATGACTATCTAGACAGAACTGTGTAAAAATGAATACAGTTGAGGGGCCAAAGAGAAGGCTCAGTGGGTAAAAGTACTGGCCACCAAGCCTGAAAACTTGAGTGGGATCTCCAGGATGCACATTATCCTCTGAACTCTCCATGCTCCCTGCGGCGCATTTGTGCCCTCTCATCCCACATACATGTACGATACATAAATAAACATTGTTCTGAAGAGGATTGCAGCTGTGGAAGAAAGAAGAAGAACCAATATATTTCTGACCATCATTAACTTCAGTCTCTCTGGCTGAGTCTTCAGGCCAGAGGTCAGTTATAACCCTGGGAATGCTTGAGAAACACCACGCTGGAATGTATCCTCTCCCTGATGGGTTCCATAGCTTCATGCTTGGAATGAACATGATCTTTTTTCCTCCTTAAGTATGAGTCTAGAAACAAGCGATTGACAGACCCTATTTATTTCAATAGGGGAGTTTTATACCCAGATAAACGTGCACAAAATGCTGTCCAGAATTTTCCAGATGTTTAACCAATCCTTTTGGAGGAACTAAAAATCTTGGATATGAAACTTATATCCAAGATTCGATGGATTAATATTTGCGGATTAATCAAATACAAAGTGTGCCAATGAATGGGGCCAGGTCAATACAGAAGGTATTCTGTTTTCATGATGTGAGAATCTGTCATGTGTCGATTCCAGAAACAACAATGACCGAGATGAAAGGAAAGAAATCACAGAGAGCAAATTTGCAAAGAGATTGGCACAGGGAAACAAGTAATATCAGGAGAAGTCAGAAAAGTATCCTTCTGGCTCATATGTCTGAATTTGGTTTCAGGAAGGCATGACTTCTAGTCATGCACATGTCATTTACCAATTGACAATAGAGTGGGGAACAAGTGCGGTGGCTTCCACAGGACACCACTGAGAAGCTGGAGAAATAGTCACTGCCAAGTCCTAAGAACGGGGGTGGTGGTGTGTGACTTTAGTATTCAAGATGGGAAACAGGAAAATACACTACCAAGAGTCTTGTGTGCAATTATCCATAAACCATTTGTGAAACAGAGGAGGCTGAAGAAATCCATGGATCAGGCCGACATCATCAGGACCAACTAAACCTACTCAAGCCTCGGGGCATGGATGATCCTGCTACCCACTTTACAAAGGGAGAACTTGGTGGCCCAACGCCTCGTGTTGTTTAGCTCACAGAACCTGTGGGTCAGGAATCTGTGCGGCTCAGCTGCAACCTATGACTCAGGTTCTCTCACAAGCTGTGGCCACCTAAAGGTCCACCTCGGGGAGGACCTTCTTCCGTGGCTGTCAGCAGATTCAGTTGCTCACGGACTGTTGCTTGAGGGGCCTCAGTTCCTTGACTGGTAACTGAACACGTTCCTCTATTCCTTGGGTGTAGTGGTCTCTCCACAAGGTAGATTACAACACCGTGTCTGTCCTTCCTTGGGGCAAACTAGCAAGAGAGAGAAGAAAAGAGATCGAGAGGACAGAGTCAGAATCTTTTTATTGTCTCCTCCTTTTTGCCCACACTGGAAAGGAGGGATGTATCCAAAGGTGACACTTGGAGGCCTTTGTGGAAACTGTCTGTCACTGGGACATTAATACGACCAGACTTTTTCAGAGTAGTTATGCTGGGCACAGAAATGTTTGTGCCTTTATGTAAAGAAGAATATCCACTTCTAATCTTACTTACTCATGATGAATACTATGTTAAAAAGAAATAGGGCTGTAGGGCAGTGGTGGTGCACACCTTTAATCCCAGCACTTAGGAGGCAGAGGCAGACGAATCTCCGAGTTTGAGGCCAGCCTGGTCTCCAGTGTGAGTTGTGAGACAGCCAGAGTTTTTATACAGAGAAACCCTATCTTGAAACACACACACACACACACACACACACACACACACACACACACACACACACATACACACACACACACACACACAGGAATAAGGCTTTAAAAGCTGAAAGGGTGATTTACAAAAAAGTTGCGGTGAAGGAGACTAACAGGTTAGAAAAGAAAAACCAAGGGCTTATGGGAAAGTTGAGAAAACTGTTAATAAGAGAGGTATGCATTTAAATATTGAACTAGTCTCAAAAGATCCCAGGCTAGACAAATAGACTCATTTACGTGAAAACAAAATGTTACTTACAGACAGTGTAAAGTTCTGAGACTTTTGACTGTCCTCACACAGCAAAATCACGCTTTAAAGAGGACAAAACAATACCGATACCTGACTGCCCACTGTAAGAAGCATCTGGAGCCACAGCATTTCCTGTACATGTAAGAAGGCTAAATTATAGCCAACTAAGGGCTGTTTTTTATAAAAGGAAGCGTGAAAACGGAAGAAGAAAAATCACGTTGCGGGGAAATTCTATACAACAGACTGTTTCTTCTCTACTGGGGTCCGGCTCAGTACTCTTTCCCACCACTCACTCGGGGGTGCATCTTCCAGCCGTCAAAACACCAGCTTTCCCCTAAGCCCCACTTCATCCACATGGCACTCAAATGTCAGCTCCCTGACCAGTGTCTGAAATAGTATCCACCTGCCCATCCTCTCGTTCTTTGCCTGACACTTCTATTGGGAATAAAAGATCTGTGAACCAGGCACTAGGGGCATAATCCTGTAATCCCTCCCAGCTCTCTGGAGGTGAGCCAGGATGATGAGGAATTCAAGGCCAGCCTCAACTACACAGTGAGGTTGAGAACAGTCTGGGCTACATGCAAGCAACCCTGTCTCAAAAGCAGAACAAAACGACAACAAACCCTTACGAATTCAAGAATTTTAGCCAACTGATTTAGGATTTGGAAAAGTGTGTCATTGGTTAAGTTCTGTTTAATAATGTCCATAAAACCAGGTTAAAAAAACAAAAATAAACAAACAAAAAAACAAGCAATGTGTGTGCTAGAACTGTTATAATTCAGATTCATGTGCAAGAGTCCCGCGCGCACTTTCGTATATATGCTGTGCATTCTTTAAAATCCAGACAGACTCAAGCGACCTAAGCGAGTTTGAAATGCGGGCAACGCTCCAATCTGCTGGGTTTCTCTAAGGAAATTATGCCAGGGAACAAACCTCACTAAGGAGGAGACTCTTCAGGCGGACAGTAGGCGGGCACGCCCTCTCTTATAAAAATGTATTCTTGTCGCTATTTGATTGGTTGTCTTCTCCAGATCCCCGTCTCTCATTGATCTAGGTTCCAGTCGATCATTTCCAGACCCAAGCACCTTATTGGTCCGCCGCGACGCTCCGGCAGGAGGAGTTCCCCAGTGATGTCAGAGATGCTCTCCGCCCACATTCCGAGGTCTGGGCGGAGACTCCCCGCGACTCTGCTTCTGGGGGCGGGATAGGGATGAGAGAGGGACTTTTGATACGGTGTACTTGGAAAAACGGGCGTCCGATTGGTCACCGGCCTGGAAGGAGGTGGGGTCGCCTCTGGGTCCCGGAGCCGAGCTCAAGAGCCCAGGGGAGTCTCAAAGTTTGTCTGGAGCCGTAGTGGGGAGTGGGCTGGTCGCGCGAGGACTTTCCTGGGATGAGAGCTGCCTTCTGGCCTGCCTTTTGGATGCACAGCCCGATTTAACCCCTGCACCTCCGGCCCGAGCCCAGCAGGCTTGTCCTCCCCGGGGATTCACAGAGCTCCGAGAACACGGGTCGCGGAGCTCTCGGCGGGGCTCTCCCGGGTTCTTGCGCCAGTGCCTAAGTTCCACGCGCAGCACACTCAAGCACTCACGGAGAGAGGCGTCTCGCCGGCCGGCCCGTGGCGGCTCTGAGCGGTCCCCTCCTGCCTCAGCATCCCCGGCCCCGCGGGGCTCCCACCGCCATGGAGGTGCTGGAAAGCGGGGAGCAGAGCGTCCTGCAATGGGACCGTAAGCTGAGCGAGCTGTCAGAGCCCGGAGAGACCGAGGCCCTCATGTACCACACGGTGAGGACCCACGGCCCCGGGCAGGGGGGGCTTGGAAGAGAAAGGAGGTTGTCGTCACCAGCTGGAGACCTGGGACTGGGAGGCAGCGTCTGGGAAGGGGCATGGCCGTAACAAGAGGTCTGGGGATGGGAGTTTTCCTCTATGAACACACGAAGGTGCACAGCTGGGGCCTTTAAACTTTCTTCCGAGTAGTGACCCTTTGTATTCCAAAATAGTTTTATACTGTTTTCCTATCGGCAGCGGTACAGCGATGCTGGGAAGGGGATGTGTTTTGAGAGTAATTCCTCCGCCCAGTTACATTGATTTTTGTGGTAAGGTTTGTTTAAAAAAAAAAAAAATTGGACAAGCTGATGTAGTATTTTCTTTCCATCTGTTTCTTCTCTCTCTTTCCTGTTCCTTAACTTTTTTAAATTTATATCTTTAAAATGTACTCGCGTTTTGGAAAGCCTTCTTTCTCCACACGGGACAGCGGCCGCCTTACTTAGCTGCTTCAACTGCACAGCCTCGAAGATCTGCTTCTTCCCTTTTCAGGGGAAAGATCTCCGAGAAGTCCGGAAAATCTGAGGCAGCTGCATATTTCAGAGAGGCTTTGGGGAGAAGTGGGACAGCTCACCAGTTCCTTTCCGCAGAGACCTCTTGGGAGACTCAACTGTCACAGAGCATGGCTCATTTAAAGATGTCACTTTCAGGCTTTTGGCATTAGATTTGCAAAAGGAAATCTTGTTTCTGATAGCCAGTGCTAGTATATGGCTTTGTTCGAGATCTCCTTGAAGTTTGTAATGAGAGAGAGAGAGAGAGAGAGAGAGAGAGAGAGAGAGAGAGAGAGAGAGAGAGAGAGAGAGAGAGAGAGAGAGAGACTGACTAACTCTGAGGTAAGGACAGGCTTGGCTGCTTTTCTGTCTTGGTGCTGTTAATGGGGTCAGTACCAGGATATTTGAAACTTTTGCAAAACCGGCCTGCAGGCTCCACCTCTTTGGCCTTTGCTGCTGACTGACTGTATTTTGGGAAAAGGGATGGGGCCTCCCTGCTGCTTCCCACCAAAGCATTTGCAGTGGCTGAGAAGGGCGGGTTAAAAAAAGAAGCCATGTGTATGGTTGAGAGGGAGTGGTGGTTCACTCTGGGGCAAAAGCCAGATGTTGAGTGTGATCCTGGTCCTCCGGCCTTTGCCCACTGTCCCTCCCGAAGAAGCCTTTGCCTGGGGAGCCCAGATGTGCTTCATGTGCTCCAGAAAGAGCCTGAACATGCTGACCCATGGCTATTTTCTAACGTTGAGGGCTCCAGATGTTCCCACTGACATGAGCTACAGCTTGACCATGAGTGGAGAGAAAGCTTGTTCTCAGCATCCGCTCTCACTGTGAAAATGTTTTGCCCAGCGGCCGCGAGGCCACCACTTCGGGCCCCCTTTCAGCTGGTGGGATAAAGTGTGCAGACAGCCACATTGCTGGATCCTGAGAGATGCCATGCAGGGCTCTGAGATGAGTCCCTACCTGAGACTGGCAGGAACTGGAGGACAAAAGCTTGGCTTGGCTCCAGCCACCGTCTTTACAGTTCCAGGGCTTGAGACCTTGCATTCCTTTTGACATTAACAACTCAGGCTTTCTGTGTCCTTGTGGTAAAGCAGTGATGTGGGGTCACTTTTCTGATAATCCTCTGCTTTTCAACAGCTATTGTGGTCTCCAGACAAGTGTCTCCCTTTTGAACAGCTCACACATACAAAATGCCACTCATAATGGCAAGCTGTTAGTATATGTATATGCGTCAGTGGTGAAAGAGGCATGGATGGCTGGATCATATTCCTCTGAACCAGCGCAAGTTTGGGAATGATTTGAAAACGGGTACTTTTCTCAGCTGCCTCTTGAACTCAGATGTCTATGTGCCAAGGAGCTGTTAGTGCAATTTGTCCATGATGGCGGAGGGGCTGATTCCCCATGTGGATGAAGTGATGGTCTGTTTTTATTATGTTTTCATTCAAAGATATTCTTTCACTTCATATTTATTGAATAATTTCCATGTGCCAAACACTGTTCTAAGCACTTGGGATGCATAATGAACAAAAATAGACTAAAGTACATGACTCTGAGTAGTTTACATTTTTTTTGCATGTGTTTGCAAATGTGTTGGAAAAAATAAACAACACATGATGAGCATAAAGAGAAGCAAACATTGTAGCGTGCTCGACATTTTAAGTGCAATGGAAGAAGTAAAAGCAGACTGATGTCACCAGGATAGAGTCCTCAGGGTAGAGGAAGGACAGAGAATAGGCTGGAACTGATGAATAGAGTCTCTGAACAGGGGTTTGAAGGAGGTGAGTGTTATCTCAGCAGGAGGAGAAGCCTGGGCACAGGCCGGCTGTCAGAATGTGGGGTACCTTGGACATGGACTGTGTCTACGGCATCACCTTCTGCTGTAGGTTAGCCTGTCTTGGTGAGTTATTTTCTTTGTAGATACAGGCTGCTTCCAAGATACCGGAGCCCGGTTTTGAGCTGATCCAGTGAAATTTTCTAAGTTGAGTGTGTTGAGAGGAGACCATGGGGGTGGGGGTGGGGGTGGGGCGTAGATGAAAGATCGTCTTTGGGAAAAGTGCTAAGTAAGAGATGATGATAGCTATAGTCTGTACCTCAAAGGGGGCCCCTGGTGTGCATGGACCGCTGTGCAGTTTTCCAACCCGTGCTCGGTTGGATGGTCTCCTTTATCATTTTTTTGACCATGTCTCTGTCTCTGTCTCTCTCTCTCTCTCTCTCTGTGTGTGTGTGTGTGTGTGTGTGTGTGTGTGTGTGTGTGTGTGTGTGTCTGTGGAAGCCAGAGTACAATCTTGCGTGTTATTCCTCAGGCACCCTCCACCTCCTTTGCTGTCTGAGACAGGGTCTCTCGGTGTCCTGGAACTTGTCTTGCAGGCTGGATGGCCAGTGACCCCCAGGGAGCTATGCTTCTCTACCTCCGCAGTGCTGGGATTCCAAGCCTGAGACAGCAGCGGGCCTGTCTGTTTGTTTTTTGTTAACTGTGGTTCTAGGGATTGAGCTCCAGTCCTTGGGCCTGCGAAGCAAGCAGAGTCAGGGCTGAGCCTTCTCTCCAGCCCCACTGTCGCCGTCTTAAGAATCTTAGTCATTTTTGAATAGGAGTCCTGTACTTTTATTTTGTAAGGGCTCCCCCAAATTATGTTGGGGTCCCACTAAAAGAGGTTATGTTGAGTGCTTTACTAAATGATGCTGTCTTCCCTCTTTGGTGGCCCAGTGAGAGAGCCCTTCTTTGTTTATTTTTCACTGTGGCTCCCGATGTTGAACTGAGGTCTTCAGGTTTGTGCGGTCAGGGGACCTTTACCTGCTGCGCCATCTTGCTGTTTGAGCCCATCCCCCCTCCCCAATTAGGTTTATTTTATATATAAGAAAACTAAGGCTTGTTGCCTTGGAGCATGTTGTGGGATTTGGGCCCCAGGGCTAATTAGTAATATAACTTGAATTCCAATCCAGATCTGCCTGACTCCAAATCCCTATATGCTATAGGTTGAAAAATCCTGACTTAAAGAAAGGTATCTGATTAAAAGGTTGAGAGAGAATGATAGGGTTATAGAAACTGCTGAGTCCCAAAGCAGCTAATGTTTAACTGGGGCTGGCCGTGCCTTCTGTGATCAGGCTCTTGGTTTTAAGTTGGGATTTAGCTAACATATCTGGTCACCAAGGCTCTGTTTTAGCAAACTTCTGCATAATTGGTTTCAAAAAGAGAAAATGTCCAAGTTGCCTAAGGCTGGGATTTTTCTTTCTCAGATGTGCCTTGTGAACATGAAGAGCAATGGTTTTCTTGTTTAGCTAGCCGTGAAGACTTCTCTGTCCTGAAGGCTTAGGGGGACAGGTTTAAAGTCACCTGAATAATGAAACACATGAATAGGCCCATGTGGGCTTGTTCAGCAGGTCCCGAGTGACGAAGTTTCAGACTTCCTCTTGAGGCTTGTATAAAGCCTTCTGAGCTGGAGGTGTGACTCAGAGATCCATCACCAGCACTGAAGAGAAAAAGCTGTGATTAAGGTGGCATGTTATTTTAGTTTTTCCATGAAAGCTGCTGCTTCCAGACTGATCCAGGCTGAAAGTGTGTTTAGAACGATGGCTGACGCAGGACAGGGGACTTGTCTTTTACCATTGGGAACTGTTCTGAGAAACTTTGCCCCTTTTTTTACAGACATGCCTGGATGTTGGACTGTTCTAATGTTATATGAACCTGTAAGAGTTTATACAAATTTTATTAGTGCCTCTGTGCACACACTGTGTCTGGGGATAAGATTAAAAAATGGAAAATTATTTGTTTCTGGTGAAAGGATTTGGAATTGTGGAGTCAGGAGAAGGAAGGTGGTCCAACTATATACTGTAGTATTTGGCACTGTTCAATTTAAATATTTTATTTTAATTATTATTTATGTGTATGTGCATGTGTGTATGTGCGTGTGTGTATGTGTGTAAGGCACATGTGTGTGGTAGTGTGCATGTGTGTGTGCATGTGTTAGGCATGTGTGTGCTAGTGTGTATGTGTCTGTATATATGTGTGTGCATGTGTGTGTGTGTATGATAGGCATTTGTGTACTAGTGTGCATGTGTGTGTATACGTGTGCGTGTGTGCATGTGTGTGTGTGATAGGCATGTATGTGCCAGTGTCCATGTGTATGTATACGTGTGTGTGTGCATGTGGGTATGTATATATGTGTGTTTGTGTGCATGTGGGTGTGTGTATGACAGACATGTGTGTGCCAATGTGCATGTGTGGAGGTCAAAGAACAACTTTCAGGGGTTGGTTCTCTCCTTCCACCGTGAGTTCTGGGCACTAAACTCAGGTTGTCAGGTACAGAAAGCATTTTAGCCTTGCCAGCCTCTACAGTTTGGAGTTTTACGTCCTGGATATGCTTAGAAAATGAAGACTTGGAGCTGGATGTCATGGTCAATGGCTATAATCCTAGTTTTGAGGCTGACACAAAAGGATCACAAGTTCATGGTCAACATGGGCCACTTAACAAGTTC